GAAGCCGGGAGGAAGCAGAGGCAGGACACCTGCCCCAAACTGGCCAAAGGGGTATTCCATACCACAGCACGTCATGCCCAGTATAGAAACTGGGGGGAGTTACCTGGAAGGCCCAGATCGCTGCTCGGGTCGGGCTGGGTATCGGTCAGCAGGTGGTGAGCAATTGTATTGGACATCAGTTGTGTTTATTGTTTTCTTTTCCTTTTCCCCATTTAGTTATATATTCTCTCCCCTTGTTATTTCCCTTATCATTATTATTGTTGGTGTTACCAGCAGTGGTTTTGTATTATACTTTAGTCACTGGACTGTTCTTATCTCAACCTGTAGGAGTTACATTCTTCCATTTCTTGTCCCCATCCCTCTGGGAGCAGGGTGGAAGCGGGGGAGTGAGCAAGCGGCTGCATGGTTCCGAGTTACCAGCTGGGCTTAAAACATGACACAGGGCAATTACCTGGCTCCTGCAGGATGCGTTTGCTGTTTGTTACAATGCTGATTTCAGTGGAAAGCAGCCCTCCACCAACACAGCTGCAACCACCGAGCAAGCAGTTTACTCACAGCCTCACCTTTCCTCCCCATCCACTGACTCAGCTTCGAAACCTCCTCTGCAAAGTGCTGGGCCAGTTTGGAGAGGCTGCGAGGCAGCCAGGACACAGTGAGGCTGCTGCAGACCAGGTGAGGTGTGTGTTGAGAGACAAGGCAGCTGGTGCAGTCTAAGAGAGCAAAGGTAATACTGCCCACACATAAAACCATCTGTTACAGTTGTCTGTAGCACTAGGGCTGGGCACAGCTAGATTTGGAAGCTCAGCACTTCTCAGGATGACTGGTACTTTGCTGAGAGACACAAGACAAGGTGTCAGGGTTGAGTCAGAGGTGGAGAAGGTGATTCACCACAGTGCTGAGCAGATGGGGAACGAGAAATAAGAGCAGCAGCAGGCAGGATGCCAGCTGTGGTTGAACATCAGTGAAACTGGACAGGATGAATCTGGAGCTAGGAAACTACTGTATCACAGGATCATAGAATAGTGAGGGTTGGAAAGCACCTTAAGATTACCTAGTTCCAAACCCAGCCTCATTTCATGCAGATTTGGTGTTAGCTGCACACAAGCACCAGACTCCTACAGCCCACAGCAGTAACAGAGCAGCTTTTGCTCATGTGATGGATGCACAGCTCTAGTAGAACAAGAGGACAGGGCAGCAGTAAAGACTCAAGTGTAAGTGAGAACCACAGTACAAAATCCAAGCGACCCATTTACATTTTAAGCAATACTGTCCTTGTGGTGTAAAAAGTGAGTAAGTGCCAGCTGTGACCTGCTGATGGCCTGGAAGCCCTCAGTGACAACCCTGGCCAGTGTGGGACAGGAAAGCAGGTGGCTGATGCAATGGGTTCTAGCTTCCCCTGTTAATTCACTGTTGCTGCAACACAGCATTCCAATAGTGCACTCTGTGTCCTGCTTTTGGGTTCAGCTGCTTAGGTTTTGGGGCAGTTGCCCCGGATTGCTGATGACTCCCCTCACTGGACCCCATTCATCCACCTGCTGCTAGGCAACAGGGCTCTAGCTTTTGTGTCAATCCTTAACCCTCTTGTCTCCATCTAGTGTCCAAACCACACTTCGGTTTCTCCCCCAGCCCACTTGAGACACCTGCAGGCTTAACGGCTTCCTTGTCACTGTGCCCACTTCCACATGAAGCTGAACAGCCTCAGTCCCATCAGCATCCCAAAAGCCTTCCCTGAGAAGGCCCCAGTTGCTTTCGTGTCCCTACAGCCTCTACCCAGCCGGACAGCACTTGCACTAAGACCAGGGCTGGCTTTGAGGACACCAGAGCAGTGGCACGACAACACAACTCACTGTTTTACATTGAGCTCTCTTGCCTTTCAAAAGTAGGAATAACCTTCCTTGCCAACAAGCTGGACCATTTCTGGGGGCAGAGTGATGCCCTTAACCTGGCTGGGTTTGTCCTTGGGTGAATTTGAGAGGATGTTTCCCTTTGTGTGAGAGTTACCAAACTCCCAGTGACTTCCCTGCATCCCCTCACCTGCAGCCTCCCAGCCCAGGGGAGAAGTGACAGAGGCTGCAAACCCCAACACCCAGCCCGTGTCCTTTACCTGCCTCCCCACCTGTAGTCCCTCAGCCCGAGCTGCACTTTCCCACCTCAGGAATGGAAATGGAGGAGCTGCTCTGCTCAGGCAGTCTTTGGAGACACTACCTGTGTCCAGATCACACGGCAGCAGCCTGTGGACCAAACATGAGGCCCAGCACATTTGCCTTGGATCATTTATTTGGTGGTAACTGTGGTGTTGCTGTGAGAGCACCTCATGACCCTCAGTACAAACCACAGGATCACACATTCCCTCAGCACGTCCTCATCACCAGAAGGTGCTGAAATCCCTGTGGCAGGTCCTTCTCCATCACAAACCCCATCCAGTTCAGGGGCATCCCACCAGCAGCAGGACACAGGGTGATGCCATTCCTCACCTTCTCCTTCCTTGCCAGAGGAGACCAATTAAAGTGTTGGTGAAATGGAGCAAGGCCAGCAGAAAGCCACCAGGATGGTCAGGGCTGGAGCACACGTCCTGTGCACAGGGGCTGAGGGAATGGGGCTCGTTCAGCCTGGAGCAGGGATGGTTTTGGGGGGCCTCAGAGCAGCTTCCCTGTACCTGTGAAGAGGAGGTGACCATGAGGATTGATCTGTGCAGAGCAGAATGAGAACAGACACAAACTGAATCAAGAAAGGCTCTGACTGGATATCAAGGGAAACTTTTCACCCCAAGGACAGTCAAGCAGTGGGAAGGAGGGTCAGAGGTTGTGCCTGTCCCTCTGTCCTTGAGGGTTTCCACTCCTCACTGGACGAAGCCCTGAGCAGCCCAAGCCCACAATCACCTGTCTTGAGCAGGTTGGACTAGGGATCTCCTGCAGCCCTGACAAGCATGAGCGATGCTGTGACTGCACACAACAGGGAGCATAAAGCAGGACTCCTCTCCTCAGAATCAGCAGAGGTCCCCACCAGGGCCCTCAGACCTTACCTGCCCCCGTGGCACCCGCTGCTCCCTGCCTGTCCCCACCAAGCTCCGCTGTAGGAGTACCTGTGCCTGGTCCTTCTCCTGGACTCCATGCTGTAGGCAGTCCTGTCTCCTGCTGTTCCAACTTCTCAGCTGGACTTCCTGGTCAGAAGGAACCTGACCCATTACCGCACCTCTGGTGACCACTGGGCAGTCAGTGGAAGCTGCTGTCACCACCAAGGCTGTCCCGCTCTGGTGCTACAGGACTGTGCCCTGCACAGGGAGGTCACTGCCCTGTTGGCACTGTGGTCACGCACGACTCCCAACTCGTCCTTCAGCACAGAGCAGCCTCATCCTTCATTTCCAGCCATGGAAAGGCTCAGGGTCCTCACGGACTTGGTCATCAGGAAGTCCTGGGTAGGCCAAGGCTGCATTTACATCCAGAGGGACATCTGGCTTCACTTCCAGGGAGGCCTGGGCTTGCAGGTACCCGCTGCCTTGTTGTTCCTGGCCAAAGGAGGTCCAGACACACACTGTGACCGACCCATCACTGGAGGGCCTTGGGGGGCTGCGGGGGCTGTTGAGGGACCCCGGTTTTTACACCTTTCTGGCTTGGAGTTGTCCAAAGGCCGGCAGGACCCATCCGAGGGGGTGCTCAACCAGCTCAGAGACTGGGATCGTCCTCTGCCAGCAGTGCCAGGGCCTTTGGAGCGAGACTCGCTCTCGGGTCGCTTCCACACACATGCTGTGCCCTCTCGTCCCACCTGCGAGCCCACTGCTGCCGGGCGGTGGGCAGCTCTTACCGGGGTGTCCCTGCAGCACGGGGAGAGGCCAGGCTGGCTTCGGGGGGCAGGCGGAGGGCTCCAGAGCAGCGCCTGGAGCTTGGCTACATCTTCCTTCCTAATGCAAGGAGTGGAGCGGGCCGGACCGAACAGGGACTCATCGCAGAAGGATGGAGTGTGGCCTCTCAGCCTGCGGGAGACAAAACCCATGCACCAGGACCAGCCATCACACAGCGGGGAGCATCAGCTTCACCTCCTGAGGGCTGCCCCCAACCCTGATACCAACAGGTAGTATTTCACTGAATAAAGAAACTGAGACAGATGCAGGGCTACAAGGACTCTTGAACTAGGATTTTACTGTGTAGAGAGAACACAGAAGGAGCTGCAATGTGAGAATTAGATGTCTTCTCTCAAACCAGTGTAGGTTCGTCCTGTTGATGAGGCCTGAGAAACAGGTAAATGGCTATGAAAGAAACAGCTCGAGGAGCCTCTCAGGGTCCTAAATTAGCCAAAACAAGAACATGCAGTTAACTGGCAAGACTTCATCAGGGGCTGCAGCAATAGGTCAAGGGGTGATGGGTTTAAACTTAAAACAGGGGAAATCCAGGTTGGGTATAAGGAAGAAGCTCTTCCCTGTGAGGGTGCTGAGGCGCTGGCACAGGGTGCCCAGAGAAGCTGTGGCTGCCCCATCCCTGGCAGTGTTCAAGGCCAGGTCGGACACAGGGGCTTGGAGCAACCTGCTCTAGTGGAAGGTGTCCCTGCCCGTGGCCGGGGTTGGAGCTGGATGAGCTTTAAGCTCCCTTCAACCCAAACCAGGCTGGGATTCTAAGACTACACACGCATCCCAATGTCCTTAACTAACAGAGTTCCATAAAACGGTAAAATGAGTCGGAACATTTACCCCAAACGACCCCAGAGACCACTCCTCAAATTTACAGCGTCTGCGCCACGGCCTTATTTACCCAAATGACTGTATGGAATGAGGAACACGAAGCGGGTGGGCATTCCGCGGCACTATAACGAGTATGTCTATAATGAAGATACACCGGCTGTGAACTGTCTCTTCTCGGAGCGCCCCCCAGGCACCCGGTACCGCAGTAAAGCCATGTCTGTTCCTAACCTGTCACTTGGAGAGTGACACCC